AAAAAGGGTTTCGAAAATTAGAGTGATTATATACAATACCAATAAGCCTAATAAGTTGTAATTTGCTGAATTATGATCTGAAATACTCACAGTATAACATTCAAACTATATGATTAATAATCAGCATTGTATTAGAAAGCTTAAATGAAGATAGAAAATATAACTTCAAAATCCGAATAGTGAAAGGTGCCTTCTAAAAGCGAAGCAAAGTACTAAGAGACAGGAAAATTTCGTTAGAAACAAAGAAAAGAGTACTGAACTGCTACTAAAGAGACTTGAAGCAACAGAGATGCCGTTCCACAGAAGGATACTGAGAATATCACGGACAGAGCATGTAACTCACGAGGAATTTTTAAGCAAAATGAAAGCAAAAAGTACATTTAGAAATTTTAGAATCAGAAAAAGATAACTGAAATTTCTGAGAGGCACAATGAGGAAGTAGGGCTTCGAGAATTTACCACTCACAGGGCCAATCGAAAGCAAAACGGAGAGGGAGAAACAGCAAGCCATCTAATTGGCTAGCTTATCGTGAAAGTATTAATGAACCACCATCTGAGTCGGAGCGCTTTAACCGCTCGGCCACGAAGAGCGTCATAATCAAGCAAAGCTGTATTTACCTTTAAAGCATAGCCACTCGTTCAAATTTACTCGAAATGGTATATCTGCTCAGTTTCATGCCCGAGACGTAAACAAAGCAATTTCTAAAGAATGGATCTCAGTCTTCAATCCGACACACTTTTACCATGTACACACACACACACACTACCCCATATGTATATATATATATATATATATATATATATATATATGTGTGTGTGTGTGTGTGTGTGTGATTATTTCTGAGATTAGATATTATGATTACTTACGTTATTTACATTATTCGAACTGTTATCCTCATCTTCATTACCATATTCACAACGTTTCGGACATTGTAAGAGCCGTCCTTCTTCAGGTGATTGGAATTTCGAACGGTACGCTTTATGCCATTCACTGGGGTAGATTGTTCTAGTTCCACGTGCAAAGGGTTCGGTTCGAAATTCCAATCACCTGAAGAAGGACGGAGCGTACAACGGCCGAAACGTTGTGAATATGGCAATGACGATGACTATAACAGTCCGAATAATGTAAATAATGTAAGATACTCGTATACTGGGTAACTCAAGAACCCCTTGTCTAATTTTAATTAGATTTGGCACTATAATCGTTAGGGGTTCAATGTACAATATGCTTATAAATTAGTTGATGTATTATGGATCGTTTAAGCTTTATCTGGAGAACACACATAGATACCTCCAAGATTTGATTTTGAGTATTATACAGATAGATTGATATTTAAATATATTCATGGTGACCTACTGAATTCCATTTCATGCGTATTGGGATGGCCAAGGACACATTCCAAAAGCTGGGCAGAGTACTGCGAGACATGAGGATATCTTTGGTAACAAAGAAAAGAATACTGAACTGTTACGTGAAATATGTCCTTCTTTACGGCAGCGAATGTTGGACGATTTTCTCAAAGATGAAGAAGAGACTCGAGGCGACAGGGATGTGGTTCTACAGAAGGATGCTAAGGATATCATGGACCGAACGTGTGAGCAAACGATGAAGTCTTAGAGAGGTTGCAATAATGCTTATACTTAACACCAGAAAGATGCAGCTGAAGTTTCCAGGGGACATAATGAGGAAGGAGGGTCTGGAGATTCTGATACTCACGGGTCGAATAGAGGGAAAGAGGGATAAAGGAAAACAACGCATGACATACCTAGCGGCCTTAAGCAAGTGGATGACAGAATGTGGTCTGGGGGAGGAAGCAGAGGGAAGAAACTTGCTGAGTGCTGCAAGTGATAGAGGGAGGTGGAGAGCCATGATCGCCTACGTCCTGAAAGCACATGGCTCATAAAAAGAAAGAATAGGAAAGAAGGGTTATTTAGTGTGTTCTTGAATACGGCATTGTCTTTGGTACCAATAAAAGATCGTCGAAATGTTTCAGCCTGTCTTAGTATTATCGCTGACCACCTACATCAGTTTATGACTACAGTTTACCTATGAATGCTTGCCATTTTCAGAAGGACAATACACTATGTCACATCTTTAATCATAGTAGATGATTGATTCATGGAATGTAGTCATTAGTTTTCTGTATTAAAGTATTCTCTAGAGTAGTTGGATCTCAATCTCATAGAGAACCTTGGGATGTGGTAGAAGAGAAGACTGGAAACGAGAATGTTCAGCCAAGCAAGGTAACTGTAATGGTAAATATATATTTTTGTAAGGGTTTCGCCCCAAACAAGGCAGGAAGCCACTAGCACGCAAGGGGTTACAGAGAGTTGGAGCTAGAGCAAATATGAGTGATAGAGGAAAGGATGAAGAGAAGGATAGGGGATAGATCAAGGTATCTGGTGACGTCGATTCACATTACATTTGAATAGTTGCAGATTATAGCTATCAGGGAAACAGGAAAAGGGGAGGGAGTTCCACAGGAGAGAGGTGCGGGACA